AAGAGATTAATGGAAATCCCCAGATCTTAACCAATGTCACCCTTGGCTTCAACATCTATAATAACTATTTTAATCCAAAACTTACATATGCAGCTACAATGGAACTTCTCTCCACACCAGAGAGATTCACCCCAAACTATAAATGTGATTTCAAGAACAATCTGGTAGCCGTCATTGCAGGACCTAACTCAAATGATTTTCTTCACATAGCAACTATTCTGAGTCAATACAAGATTTCACAGGTATTTTTTTTTTTCATGAACAGAAAAAAATGAAGAAACCCTCCACAATTCCCTTTCCTGTTATATAGGAAAGACTTTGAGATCTGTGGGGTGGATATTGGTGGGCTTCTATTATTTCTGCAGGAAAACTGGATAAATGCCACATTCCTCTTTTCTTCACACTAACATAGCCCTAACTATTAAGAAGTGTTCATTGGATGTAAAAATTACTATAAAATCAGGATCCCATGATCCCAGTCTATTGCAAGCAACACAATCATAGGAAGAAAAATATGCAATGTTTATTAGGGAAAGAATGCATTTCTTGCGGAGCAAACCCTTCTGCTTTCTTGCGTTCATACTGCTTTTCCAATTGCGTTCAATTAGCTTGCATATACTTCTTCTCCAGAGGTGAATAGACCAAATCAAGCAATTCCCTTCCACTGGATGTTCCCAAATGCTGATTATCAATATCTTGGGATTCTCCAGCTGTTACTATATTTCAGTTGGACGTGGATGGGGATATTTTATATTGGCATTGGCAGTCAAACAGAATTATTGCTCCGGAAAGTATTGCCTTTCTTTTCACAGCATGGCATCTGTTTTGACTTCATTGAAAAGTTACCCAGTGGGATGTTAGGTGAGGCTGATGTGATTTTGGAAGCAACTTATGCCAAAATAAGCCTTGCCTTGAACAACAAAGCTAATACAGTGATAATTCATGGAGAATTTCAGAGTGTACCATCTTTATGGTTTTTACTTGAATTTTCAGAATATCATGATATGGCAGGAAAAAAAGCAAAGGTCTGGATCATGACAGCAGATGTGGACTTTTCATCAGTTCTGCTTCAAAGAAGCTGGAGTGTTCATTTCCTCCATGGTGCTA